ATTTATTTATTTATTTATTTATTTATTTATTTATTTATTTATTTATTTATTTATTTATTTATTGTATTTATACCCTGCCTATCTAATCATTTTGACCACTCTAGGCGGTATAGTTATGTTGTGTCTGACTCTTTGTGACCCCATCGACCAGAGCACGCCAGGCCCTCCAGTCTTCCACTGCCTCCCAGAGTTGGGTCAAATTCATGTTGGTCGCTTCGATGACACTGTCCATCCATCTCATCCTCTGTCGTCCCCTTCTCCTCTTGCTTTCACACTTTCCTAACATCAGGTTCTTTTCCAGGGAGTCTTCTCTGCCAAGAAAACCCCATGCTATACGGCAGGACCCCATATCCACAGGGGATCAGTTCCAAGCCCTGCCACAAATGCTGAAAAATGTGGATTATAGCAAACACTATTATAACAGGGATTGCTATACATGGCATTGTCTCTGGACCGCTCTACTGGTCATTTCTGGTAACTCTGTTAGAGATATATATATTTCTGGGAAATTTTCTTTTAACATTTTAAATATTTTCAGACCATGGATAAGTGAATTTGTGGATAATGATCCCGCAGATACGGGGGTCCTACTGTATATAGATTTCTATATCTATGCTTTTTGGCATCTATGGGGAGGGGGGATTTGGAACCAATCCCCTACAGATACCGCAGTCGTACCGTACACTCTTTTCTATGTGAATCACTTTTTGGCACATCAGTTGAACTGTTGGGCATATTATAGATTTTGGGTAAAGACACTGTGTTTTTAGCTGTTATAGCATGTGATTTGTTTTCAAACCTTGGCACAAAATCAAAAGCACACCAAAAGCCCACCAATCTAAACTATAAGCTGCAATCTAAACTGCAGGTGATGCCGTCCTGTCCCTCCAGCGCTGCCTGGAGGCCGTACTGCAATGGATGCGGGAGAACAGGCTAAGGCTGAACCCGGACAAGATGGAAGTTCTGAGGGTGGACAGCCCTGTGGATGGTGGCTTCAGCGGCTCCCTCATGTTTGGGGGGGCAGCCCTGGCCACGAAGAGTGGGGTTCGCAGCCTGGGGGTACACCTGGACCCAACGCTCACCATGGAAACGCAGGTGGCGTCGATAGTCCGTACCACCTTTTTCCATCTCTGGCGGATTGCCCAGCTGTGACCTTACCTTGACACGGGGGCGCTCACCACCTTAGTACATGCGCTCGTAATCTCTAGATTAGATTACTGTAACGCGCTCTACGTGGGGCTTCCTTTGAGGCTGATGCGGAAACTTCAGGTGGTGCAGACACAGACAGACAGACAGACAGACAGACAGACAGACAGACAGACAGACAGACAGACAGACAGACAGACAGACAGACAGACAGACAGACAGACAGACAGACAGACAGACAGACAGACAGACAGACAGACAGACAGACAGACAGACAGACAGACAGACAGACAGACAGACAGACAGACAGACAGACAGACAGACAGACAGACAGACAGACAGACAGACAGACAGACAGACAGACAGACAGACAGACAGACAGACAGACAGACAGACAGACAGACAGACAGACAGACAGACAGACAGACAGACAGACAGACAGACAGACAGACAGACAGACAGACAGACAGACAGACAGACAGACAGACAGACAGACAGACAGACAGACAGACAGACAGACAGACAGACAGACAGACAGACAGACAGACAGACAGACAGACAGACAGACAGACAGACAGACAGACAGACAGACAGACAGACAGACAGACAGACAGACAGACAGACAGACAGACAGACAGACAGACAGACAGACAGACAGACAGACAGACAGACAGACAGACAGACAGACAGACAGACAGACAGACAGATAAGCATCGGCTTTTATGATCAAGGGAGCAGAGGCAGACTTTAGACTTCTGCAAATCCTTGCCCTGGTCCTCATTGGTTTCTGGCCTCTCCTCTGTTCTTCTGACTGCCATCAGTGGCTCAACCTGTTGCTACCTGGCTGTGCTACCCACATTCACTTGGCAATTCCTCATAAAAATGGAAGACGATGGGACCGAATCATTCCTGCTTCTTTTTCTGCATCTGTTTGGTCACCCACATGCCATGTGCTACCAAGAATAGTCTGAGAACCATTTCAACATTGTATTGCATGAGGAGTAGAAGAAGAAGCCGCAGTGGGAAAAATAAAATACACAGGGTATGTATTGAGGTAAGTATAGAAACTTTTGGTTTAGATAAAGCTTGGTGATAATATTTGTGGATAATGACCGTGTATTCTGGTTCCAGTTGGAAAGCTAAACACTAAGTCAATGGAGAGGCCTGAGTCTTGTCAACAACAGATTGTTGGTGTTTACTGAGGTTGAAAGGAGATAAGTCCTCATAAAATATGGACTGTCTGTTTACGAGAAGCCATTACGACTATGACATTTATGTGTTACATATAAGTCTGTTATGTTGTGCATGCATCAATGTGTTAAACAATAATTTCATACCACTGTTTTGTATCTTTAAGAAGCACTGTATTTGGGTAAAGTTACTGTGAATAATTTCGATAGTTTACACTGAGTTTTTGGTCAGTGTAAGTGTAAATGAAGATGAATGGTAACAGGTGAGTTCAATCAGATATACAGCTAAGGATCTTTCAGACCATGGTCTGGAACATCAGAAATGTGCTGCAGAAGCATGAGATGACTCTTTCCACTGCCTTGTTTGCACAAACCACACTTGGCCTCCAGATTTTTTTTAAAAAAAATAGTAAAAGTGAGGTGAAATCTAAAGGTCTGTAGATTTGGTGTTGACGGGCTGAAACTCCCAGAATTCTGCAGGGTTGCAGTCCAAGAACCCAAAGGAGCAAACCACTGTCTTCAGTGTCAGGGCAGGAACAAGGCAGCATCTGTCCTGTCCTGACACCTCTTTCATACACTTATCATCAAGGAATGCTTGTGGAAAGAGCAGAAAAACTACCTTTCTACTGCAGGCACAGCCAGCCATCAGCACAAATGGAAAAGATTAAAGACCTCCTCTCTTCCTCCTCACCCACAGTTTACTCTGAAATTATTTTGTTATTTTTTTCTGAAAAGAGGCTTAAGGTATTTGAGAAACACAAACCATTTAGTTTTGAAAAGTATTACAAAGGATATGTATAATAGGAAAAAATGCCCTCCAGATAGAAATGCTTTATTGCTTTTTAAAAATTAAACATACCCTGTGTTCATTTAGCTTTCCATAGAACACCACATTTTTACATTGTTTGTAAAAGATTAAAACAGAAAGAGATGGAGACATGGGAGTTTTTGTTTTTTGTTTTTAAAAAGCAATAACCAGTGGGTGATGAATCTTTGGTTTATATCACTTACTTCATAAGCCATTCAATAATTTTACTCTTTGTTCGGAGATGTGGCAGCGTATATTTTTCCTCTCCATCTTGGAAGTACTTGAGCGTTGGAAATCCTGATATGTGAAACCTTTCTGCTACAGCTTTGTTGATAGTAGCATCTACTGCTGCCAGGGCGCATGGTCTCTGCAATATAGAGCAATACCAGTTAATCATAAATCATCATCTGTAAATAGTTTGCTCAGATGACAGACTAAATATTCACAGACCAGTCTTCCAGAGCCCAGAAAGGGCTTTAAAAGGTTGTGCAAGGCATATATAGAAAGGTGGGCCTGAACCTTCTATCACCACTCCGCACTGCAGAGTGTAACAAGCTTTGCTATGACAGCGCACACCATCTATTTCAAAGATAATCCTCATGAAAAATGCCCTGCTAGTTCACTAGTATTTTGATGCAAGGGGAGAAATGGCAGGTAAGTACAGATGTGACCAAGCTGTGAAGCTTCGTTGGTTAAAATTCATCATTAAAGCTGGCTGTATGTGCTTGATGGTGGGATGACGCAGCCCTGGCCTTCACCTGAAAGGCTCCTACAAGAGGCTTTCGTTTGTGGGCTTATCCTTCCTAATAGCCTTTCTTGACTTCAAAAACAAATTCTACCCACCTTTGTTCTGAAATCCTTCAACCATTAGACAGCAGGTGAGATTTTCCCAACTGGTGCTTCAAACACAAAAGGACAAAGACTCAAGTGTCCGAATTGTGTGGGAAGGTCAGCTCTTATTGCATGACCCTATTAGAGTGTGGTTTTAATTGCTCTGATAATAACAACTAAGCATAATTCTCTGCATTACTGGAAGACAGACTAGGTAGGCATAAAATCAAGCCAAAGCTATTGACACCTGCTTAAACAGATGTACAGAGGAAGGCAATACCCTTGTTAGCTTACAAGTATGTAGGGTAAATTAAAGCCATTTTCCCCTCATGATAAACATGAAAAATGTAATTAATGGAGGAGACAAAACACTTATGTGCAGCATTTGGGCTCAGTCATGTTATGTACAATGCAAGGCACTATACCCGAATGTATAAGCACCTTGCCATTTTTTTGTCTGCGTTTAAAGACAAAATGTTCTTGCTAACAATTTTGGCAGAGCTCATGCATTACAGATGAGATTATACTTTGCAACCACTGCGTACACAGTCCCTTGGGATGATGAGAACAGCTGAAATAGCTGCGGTAAGAAAGGAAAACAATTTTTATGATTTTGGTTATTTATTAAGGATAATTTGAAAACAGGGTTAGGCAGTGGAATATGCTTACCTCAGTATCTGTATGGAGTGTCTCAGCAGCCTTCTCATATTCTGGCTTCATTTTCTTACAGTGCCCACACCCTGTCAAAAACAACAGCAACAACTCAGAATTAATACACATATAGATACAGACAGTATTTCTAAGAGCACTAGTTCACTATATTCTTCACCAAGAAGAGAGTGTGTCTTTGCTCATCTAGGGCAGTGGTTCTTAACCTTCGTGTCTTTGCTCATCTAGGGGATTGGAATAGTTAGCTTTTTAACACTGAGTTTAACACTTAGATTGAGGTCACACCAGAGAAATGTTTCCCAATTCTTCCTCACTGATTTCAATGTTTTTGTGTATGTGGTCAGGTGACACATGACATTAACAAATATTTGGTCTGCCTCTGTGCTATGTCACTGACCTCTGTGTTTCACTTATTTGCAAATCCTTCCATCAGGTGGGGCTCCTTCCCCTGCACCCTTTCATGTTTTCCTCTTGGTAAAACTACCTCTTGGTAGAGCTGCTGAAACCAAAGCCTGACAATGGGTTTCTCTTCTGCACGAGGCACAAATGCAGTAGAGAAACTCACATTCATTAAAGAAATATTGCCAAAACATTGATGTAAAAATATATTTTTTTAAAAAAGGAAAAAAGTGATGGAAAAATGTGATGGAAAGCATTAGAAAAGAAACAATGCAAAAGTACATGCCCTACCATCTCTACCACACCAGCCTCACAGGGCATAGGTGTGCATAATTATTTTTAAAAAGGGGGGGGGAAGGGGGTTCCAGAGACATAAACAACCCAGAGGGAAATATTCCAGTACTGAACTATAGCTGGTCATACCACATCAAATTTAGAGCTGGTCATACCACATCAAATTTGAATTACTGCAACATAGGCAGTAATTCAAAAACACATCAGAACACACACTTGGATATACAGTATGTCACGTGGCCAAACATATGACTGCTCAGGGAGTAAAAGACATGAGAGAACAGGGAGACATTTCAATGCTGTAAACACAACCTAAGTTATATTTTGCTTTTTTAAAAAAATGTGAAACACAAGAAGCCAGCGCTTTAGTGATAGTAATGTCATCATTCACTTATTCCAAGTACCTGAAGGATATATAGTATTGTAAATTTAGGCAGCCTCTAAAGCAACAAGGTACTCTACCAACAGGGAATTCAGCATTATCTATATGACCACCATGACAAAAGCAGTATTATTATTTGGTTATGATCAGGGGGAGCTGTCTATGAAATACCAACTTGCCTGATCTTCGTGGTTCAATTTGAAACAGGGGGATCCTGGCTCATTTCTCCTTATATAAAACACTGCACTTGGCCAGACTTAAGATTCGGAAGCCAGCGACTTATTTTAACACAGGTAACATGGCTGTGATTAAGGTATGTCTCTGCTTCACTAGAAGTTATTGCTTAGAATCTCACTTGGATGCACACTAGATGACTAGCTTTCAATCTGGGGAATCAGACATCAGCTTGGCGACTCACTGAAGTGTGGGAAGCTACTGGCTGTGGATATTGCTCTTTCAGATAGAATGGTATCTCTTACAAACAGTCTACACTCTCCCATATTCTTTGATTTGTCTCTTTAATTAACTTAGAGAAGAACTGACCCCCTCAAATAAGGAATCTGAGAGTATAAAATACTTCTGCCTCCTGATGAACCCTAAAAATCTTTCTCAGGCAGATTTTGGGAGATTTACATTTTTGAATGACAACCCTCAAAATCCTCCAGTCAGCATGGCAGATAGGGGACCTCAGGATCTGACAGACCCCACCAACAATCCACTGTGAGTAAAACATGCATTCTAAGGGGTTTGAGTGACAAAAAAAGATCCATGTTGAACTAGACCGGAATACAAAGGAAACAACTTTATCCCAAGTCCTTTTCTTAATCCATTTCAGTGACATCACTGGCATTTCCAGCATCTGCTTGCTTGGTACATCTGCTTCATAAAACACATGCAGACAAGCCCTATGTTATGTTTCTGGCATCTGTTCACACTAGTGTCAAGTGTGTGTCACTGTAAACATACATCTGAAACTGGGTTTGGTACAGTTTTTTAAAACATCTCTCCTCTAACATAAACTTGAAAAAGTGCTATTGGCCTCTGAGTGTAAAAAACATGTAAGATACATGTGTGGAAAAAATGGCCTAAATGTCACCATCAGGGAGTAGACAGATGATAAAACAGACCTTAATTTTATATGCGTGTAATTTCCATTAAGTTGTTCCCATCCCATTCCAAGTTTTAAAAGACATACTAGTTTCTGCCTGATCTAATGATGAACTACACCCAAAAGCCCAGTGAACACATGGAAATGTTAGGCTAAAGGCCTAACTTACCTCTTACGTTATATAAACTCATTACATAAAGCTCCTTCTCTCTTCCATTTATATCAGACATATATGTAACACAAGGACACTGGATTAAAATCTCTCAGAATATTAATAGACAAGATACAGTCTAAAATTTATAGAGAGGTTCACAATACAAACTTGTAACTTGTCATCTCCCCCACTCTCCAATATACAAGTCACAATGATGAGACCATGATTCTCAGGAGTTTGAAAAAAATATTTTCTACATTTCTTAAATTAATCTATGACTCACATAGTGAGTGATTCAGTGTGGAAGGGATTGTCAGTCTCGGATTGGCCTTCTCTGAGACCATGATTCTCAGGAGTTTGAAAAAAATATTTTCTACATTTCTTAAATTAATCTATGACTCACATAGTGAGTGATTCAGTGTGGAAGGGATTGTCAGTCTCGAATTGGCCTTCTCAGCCACACTAGACGCTGTTCCAAGACCTCCATAGAGAGCATGTTACCATAGTCTCTCGAGACTGAAGGATGCCTACTATGACTCACATTGGAATTTTTCTATCATCCCCCTCACAGTTCCGCTATTTTGTTTTAATATAATGTCCAACTTGAAGAAAACCTGATATGTAGTTCTATAAACCTGATATGTGGTCTCTTTGGCTGGTCCAAATAAATACATTAACCTACTGGTGGTTTCATTAAAAAAAATCGAACGGAACCAAATGACTTGAAATATTTATTTTTCCATCTTATGATTGCAATATATGGTTTCCAGCCTCTTCCTCCTCCTTTCCCCCCTGCTCTGAACTTGTTCCAATTTGTCAGCATCCTCATTGAACTGCGGTGTCCATAACTGACCTAACCAGTGCCGAACAGAGAGGGACTAGTACCTCATAAGACGTGGAGACTATACTTCTGTTAATGCAGTGTAAAATAGCCTTTTTTGTGGTCACATCACACTGTTGGCTCATATTCAGCTTGTGATCTATGAAAATTCCAAGATCCTTCTTGTGTATAGTACTGCTGAGCCAGGTATCCCCCATCTTGTAAACTGTGTGTTTGATTTCTTTTTCCTGGGGGGGGGGAAGGGAGGAAGGGAGGAAGGAAGATTAGGATCTGGAAGGAGAAACATTAAACTCTGCCTGGGATAAACTGCAACAAAATTAAACAAAGGGGTCTGGGAGGGACATGAAATCTGGGAAGTCATAGGGAAAAAAGCCTCTGTATGTACCAAAATAGCTGGCTAGATAGCTCAGTGGTTTAGGTGTCTTTCTGTGGAGCGAGAGGGTGGAAGTTTGATTCCCCACTGTGCTCCTTGAGAGAAGGGGCAGCTTGGGTAGCCATGGGCAAGCTGCAGAGTCCCAGGGCAATCCCAGAAGAAGGGAATGGCAAACCACTTCTGAGTGTTCTCTACCTAGAAAGCCCTCAAAAGGGTCACCATAACTCACAAATGACTCCACAGCATATCATCATCATTTATCAAGATAAGAAAAACCTCATCAACACTTCTGGTGGAGGCATTAAGTGGCAGCTTGGGTAGCCATGGGCAAGCTGCAGAGTCCCAGGGCAATCCCAGAAGAAGGGAATGGCAAACCACTTCTGAGTGTTCTCTACCTAGAAAGCCCTCAAAAGGGTCACCATAACTCACAAATGACTCCACAGCATATCATCATCATTTATCAAGATAAGAAAAACCTCATCAACACTTCTGGTGGAGGCATTACATTAGGAACTGTGCTTAATAAGGGACTTAAAGGGGTACAAATACATCATCCAGAAGAGCCCCATTTTTAAATACCCAGTGACCAGTTAGCATGCAGCAGTGCGAATTAATAACAGCAATTCAGTAAATGGTGTGTCTTTTTTGTTGTTGTTCTATACATGTATGGCACTGTAGAAGGGGGCAAAATAGGTTCCAATATTCCACTGGTTTTTGAAGTCAAATATAATGACAGAACTCTTCTATATTTAACTAGAGACTAACCTCTGATTTCACTTGATTATGTAATATTTCAGTTACTCCACTGATACCAGTCAATTTATTATCCCATTTATACCTTATGAAACACACACTCTCTTCCGGCTGGAAGTTAATACGTTATGAGCTATATGAGGTTTTGTTGGGATTGGCATCAGGGATAAACAGAGTTGCTCCCAGCTGCAAAGTATATTGGGCGTATATGGACTTGATCAACTTTCCATGCTTCTCTTTTCCCTATAATTTTCTGATTTCATCATTCTGGGTGGAACAGGCAGATAAACACAGCAATGGTGGTGAGAATTGATATTTTTTTATTAGCCAAAAGCCTTAGGCAAAGCTTCCCAGACCATTCTCCACTATTTACTGGAACTGTTCACTGCCTTGTTACTACATGGAAAGGAAAGCCCCAGAAACACCATCACGTATCAATCCACCATCCACTTTCCATTGGTCTTGCAAGGTTAACCACCACATCCTCCCACTTATTTGAAAGTGACAAAATAACCCAAAGGCTGAATGTGGCTCTCAAATACCACGGTATGGCTTCCACCCAGTTTCAGGTTTCTTGCTGCTAAAGCTCCTCTTGGTTTTCTGTGAAAACTGCCTGAGATCCTCTTATACGCGGTGCTGCATAATGTTCTGCTTAAGGTTTTCTTGGAACCGCCAAGTTTTTATAGCAAAATATATTTGATGTGCATCCTTCAAAGAGATGCCCTTTGTATATATTGGCACGAATGTTCTAAAACTCAGAGCCCAAG